TTAGCTAAAACATCATCTGCATTCGGTTGAAACAGAGGGTATTGCCCTTCGATAATCAAATTAGAGTATGTGACATAACCTTGGTGAAGGGCTCCATTAATCGGGCCTGATAATAGCCAACCAAACTTGCTGTTAATGGCAACGGGTCCTTCGACACCTTGTTTCGTCTCCTCCATCACGAAGTTCCAATAGTAGTCTGATCCGATTAGTAAATCAATCGATCTTGCAGAAGTACACGGCTCATCGGCTAATTCCAAACCATCCAAGTGGGCATAACTTGTAGAAACGTTCAAGGTAAAGCCAAAAGGCAAACAAATAACGGGAAATGTCAAGGCAGATATTGTTAATGGATCATCGTACTCTGTCTTTTGAAGTTGCAAATTCACCACATTGCAGTTCTGTTTCTTGAATTTTGACTTGCCAAACGTAGTTAGATTTAGCTTCTCGTTTTGAAGAGATTTAAGCTGTAATCTCTAACGTAAATTTTCAGTGATGTACGGCCTTTGACTTCCATTGTCGAATAGTATCATGACGGTAGTTGATTTCGTTCCTTCTTCATTCGTGGCGATGGCACTGCCCGTCTGTAGTAAAACACTGCATTTTGGGTTTGCACTCTCGGCATTGGTTGTAGCTGTTGTAGTTCCATCCTTCTCAGGTTGATCCCCTGATGCAGTGGGAGTTGACTTCTCTTGCAGTTTACAGGGCGATGGATTGTTGTGTAATTCTGGGCAAATTGATGATGATGATTTCGGCTACCGCATTTTCTACAGCTTTTTTCGCACTGTTCCGAGTTGTGGCCTTTTCCTATGCAGGTGAAACATCTTCTGTCACATTTCAGGATTGATTTTCATGCGTCGATGTTGGTGACATTTTCACACGATGCAGGAAAGTGTTTTCCTGAACAGTAAACACAGTTTGGAACTGTCGGCTCTTTGTTTGAAGTAGCATCAAAAAATGTTCCAGCTGTCGGTGATGAGCTTCTTGAGGGGGGTGGACACTTTACTTGTTTGGTCGTGGCTTTGATCTTCTCACTTATCTCCCTTGCTTCAATTTCACCTTGTATGAGATCGAGTAAGGAGTAGATCTCCCAAACGTCTTGGGACGTATTCCTTGCAACTTGTACTCTTATTTTGGCAGAAAGTTTAGCCATGATAATTGGAATGAGCAGGCTTCCGTACTGCTCAGACTTTACTCTCAGAGCTTCAAGTCCCCTAATTTTAACGCTTATTTTGTTGTATAGAAAACGAAGCTGGCTTGGTTTATCCAACCTACAGATGTTCAGTTTTAGAAGTTCTTCCATGTTAGCGGAGATGAGCTGTTGTGGTTTGCCAAATCTCTTTTTTAAGATATCCACAGCTGAGTCAGTTTTCCTCGGTAACCGGTAAACTTTTGATTGCGCGTGAAGCACTACCTTCCAACAACGAAACTACAGTCTCAGTCAAAATGGTTGGGACACGTTGGTGTCTCCTTGTCCGCTAAATGTTGGTGTCCAAGATTTGGTGACCGAACCGTGATAAACAACTTTGAGAGGGACGAGGGGAGCACGAGAAGGAAAAAAACAGCGTTTGGTTAAAGTGTCCCAACTATTTTTGTCTGAGACTGTGTTGGGGAGGAATTTGACGGCCTGTGGACAGATATGGAGGTTAATCTGTAGGCCGGTCACAAGCGATGGGCTTTTGGTTTGTTGGGCGTCCATTGTGTTTCGCGAACGTTTCTATAGCAGTGAACTAAGTTATTTGGGCATAACATAACACAAAGAATGACCAGTTCGCAGAAATTTTTTGGGCAGAGTAGAGTATTGGAAAATAAAAGGAACTGAGTGTGCACTAAACCGTACACAAATAGCTTTCAAGTGGCCAACTGATAGCGTGACAATATAGCACATGCATACTATCTGTGTAAGATTCAGGCTTTTCATATACCGAGAGTCGCTCGAATGTGCCACATTTCTAGAGAAAATGTGTGGAGGATAATAGAGAAGGCCTCTTTGCCAAGAAAGAGTGTAGGAACAGGGCCCAAAGGGACGCCTTTCTAAGTTAAGGGCAAGCGGGGAAAGACAGGTGAAAGAGCGATTAAGCGGTTTTGAGACAAAGGGGGAAACTTTTCCTCCAGTTTGGAGGAAAATGCAACAAGCCAGGATTATTCCCAAGACGTATCAGCGACAACAGTATCCCGCTTTCTAAATTTCTAAAGAGACTATTGACTAAAAGCGCATAAAAAGGGTGTCAGCTACAATAGTGTAACTGTTTGGTCCAACACCAAAAAGTTTCTTAATGGTATTCCAGGCTTATTGCTGCAAAATACACAACTTTTTATAAGTTGTTTACAACGTATGTTAATTTGGCCTTGCGCCAAATGGTGACATCGGTTCTCATTTTTTACCCCAAATATACACCTTCTTGAATAGCTCTAAAACAAACTACTGTGACATAAATGTGGGAATTGAGGTACAAAACATGAATCATATCAAACGAGGACAACACCTATCCTTAAAACCTCAAAAAAAGCGTTATACTCAACGTGCACACGGGTCACCGTACATTAATTCAATTACGATATTTATAAGTTTCTGTCAGCGAACAATCGTGTCACCATGATGTTATCTTTTCTTTCTTAATCCATTATATATACCACAGGGGTGTTAGAAAACGCCCTGGATAGTATGGTGACCCGTTATGGTGACCCGTCCAATCATGTCTCCACCGGTCCAATATATTAGCGGCAAGATACACAGCCTGCGAGATGATGCACCTAGTTTTGACTCATCCGTTGTTCACTCTTTAAACCCAATACGTACAAAGCCTGTTTAATACCTTGGAATGTTGTTATTAAAGAAAGAAAGACTTCTTTTCTCTACTGATTGTCTTCTCTCTTTCTATCGGTGAAGTCTCTTATGTTTTTCCCGAAAAAATGGCTCCAAAACGTGTATATACCTGCCTAGCAATTTCCCGCCACTAAAGCAAACGAGGAGTCACATACCTAAAATTCCTCTAAAACACAGTCTCAATCAAAATGGTGGGGACACGTTGGGGTTTCCTTGTCCCCTCAATGTTGGTGTACAAGATTTGGTCACCGAACCGCGATAAACAACTTTGAGAGGGACGAGGGGAACACAAGAAGGAAAAAAAAAGCGTTTGGTTAAAGTGTCCCAACTATTTTTGTCAGAGAGTGTAGGTGGCTGAATTTGTCGATTTTCGTTAACCCAGGATTTGAATGAACTGCACTTTTGAACATATGCCAGAATGTGCGAAATTGTGTTACATCTTCTTTAAACCTTCGCAGTGTTATTTTCGGCAATTTCGTTCGAGCTGCTTTCGGAGTTTGTGTTCCGTTTCCATAATTTTTTTGTGGTTGTTGTTGACTCGCTGAAGATGATCCAGGTGATGAAGGAGAATTACAAATGGTGTTGGTTCCTTGAGCGAGGTTAGATGATGAACTTGAAATAGGTAAATGGAGTTGTGGGCGTTGTTCCTAGTGAAATAGCTTCGATCACCTCCATAACACGTATTTTTAAATCTTCGACGTTTTCAATTTCCTCTTTGATATCCTCCACCTTGCAAACCGCAATAATTTTCTCTTGGAGATCGTGAATCAATTCCGTTTTCTCCTTTAGAACCTTTTCGATGCGCGCCAGTCAATTCCTTGTTTTTTCTTCAAGTGGATAAGGGCCATGTAGAATACCTTCGGTTTCTGCGATAAGTTTTGTAACTATGCCCTTGTTGCCCGCATGGGTTGCGCGCAGTCTCAGAAATTGCTCTTCCTCGAGTTGATAGTCCCAGCCCCACGTTGGGCGCTATTTTATAAACTCGTAAAAAGAACCACTCGCATTTTTGATTTAAACGCTTTAATACTGATGGAGATGCACCTAAAGAATGGTCAAAAATTCACGTCTCCAAAACATATCCAGGAAATTTGATAAAGGTATAAAGGTGTCAATCAAATTGAAATCAATGACGAACTGTACAAACAAAACCTCTTAAAAAACGTGACTAATATTACATAACAAAATGCTTTGTGAAAAGAGTGTGACTGTTCTTGACATCCTGATAGCCCCTTTCAATTATTATAAGTTACTTTTTGACAGAGCCCTAGGTTTAAACTTATTATGTAAAAGACAGATTTGGCCTAATGTATGTCATAAATCTTGGGTTGCTTAATTACTATTTGTTGAAGTTGGGTAGCTAGACCAGTCCATTCCTTAAGAGAATTCCGCTATTAATCAGAACTGTCCAGTTGATTGATCAGTCTATTCTTGAATAGTATGCACAGAAGTGATGTATTTTTAAAAATGATCAGGTCTGCTTGCCAGATCAGACTTTTGGTATCCACTTTAGTTTACAGAAGATATAATTACATGGATGTTTCTTAGTGCACCTTGAATACCAGTAAACACCACAGTGGTGATATTTTTAAGGCAATAATGTTATTGTAACCCAACAAGGAAGTTTAAGGAAGAGTATTATGGTGCCTTGTTCTCTTATCAACCCTTAGACCAAATTACCAGATCTACATATAATTTTTCTCATAGTAAATGACACTACTCAATCAAATACCAATGTTATGAGAGTATAGGAAATGACCACCAAGTAAACTGACATGGTCTTGATCGTTAAAAAAATTATCATCATAAATATCAGAGGAAACGTATGAAGGATAGTGTAGAGAATACATTGTATGCATGCTGGTATTTGGGTTTAAGAGGATGAGCTAGTTAAGGTAATTATTTTACATGAAACGCCACTCAGGCACAACTGTTTTGAGCAAGCATCTCAGTGATCTAACTACTCATAAATGGTTCTGCCACAATTTTTTACATGATTGAGTTGCCATGGTAATGACCCTTCTTTGCTGTTGAAATGGGCTGCAAAGCTTTCTCTAACAGACTTAGCTGTGTATTGATAAGTGTGACCTCCCATCCTCTCTAAAGGCTAAAACGCACCCTCATCATTACTTACTATGCTTCTCCACTCTTCACAAATTAAAGCTCCATTACTGTCCTCTTAGTCAATAAATCCTTTGGGTACATAATGTCCATTGTCAGTGAGCCGCAAATAGTTATGCAGAGAAACACATGCCTGAACAATGCCATCCAAAGTTTCAATGTTTGCATGAATGGGGCACCTAAAGATTCTCCATTGAGCTACCATAATTCTTAATGAATTTTCTACGATGCACCTGCATCTTGATAACCTGTAGTTGTAAATGGCTTGAATCTCTGTTTGGGATTTCCCTGGAGATGGCTTCATCAGCCAGATCTTAAGGGGAAAAATATCATCCCCAACTAGTACATAGGGCAGCATCTAACCACCAACAGTTGACGGCTCTGGCACCTGGAAATTGCCATTCTCAAATCCCATGGCAAATTCAGTTTGGGAAAATACAGCAGCATCATTGTCTCGCCCATAACTTCTACAAATGTAAAGCAATATTTAGCATCAACACATGCCATGAAGACTACACTGTGGTTATTCTTATAATTGTAAAGGGTTGAGCCTGAATTTTTCCTCGGAATTTGGGCGCATAGTTCGATGATCTGTGATTTAAGAACAGACTAATACTGCTCCCTCATCTGAATTTTAAAACTTTAACAACCCTGGGCAACTGTGCGTTCATTGCTTTGGTGCCTAAACTCTGGATCGATTTACCTCTGTAAATTAGAATGGCCAAATCTATTGACACTTTTAAAAAAATTTTAAAGATGGAGCTTTTTAGTAAGGCTCTTCATTCTTAGTTAGGGTTACATACACGACTTTGTAATTTTTATTTTTAGTAAAACTTTTAAAAACGTACCTTTTGGTAAGGTTTTAATTCTTAGTTAGGCTTTTTAATATTTTACACAACACATGGTGTAGTAGACCAGTTTCGTATTCCCGGGCAGCCTAGGATGAGTGCTAGTTTTTGCGTGAAAGAGAGGCTAAGGTGGGTCACTTCTCACCAAGAAGACAAACAAACATGAGAAAACTACGGCTGAGTTGCCCCAAAAAAGGTAAATTTGATAATTTGAAAGGTTTTAAAGGTCTCAAAACTTTACCACTATTTTGGTCAATTTATGGTTAGGCTTGATGATTTTCTTAGTGATGACGAGCTGATTTTCCTTTTGCTGTTTGAAACAATTTCTCAAGCCTGTCGGTGAGTGAGTTCAGTAAAAATGCGTAGATGGTTTCAAAATCCTTGCACAAGGTAATACCCCGTCGCCATTTTAATGTTATTTTCAGTTATGGTTAAAACTTCTTTAAGTCATACCTTCCATTGGAGTGTAATTACCTGTTGAAAGTATGCACGTTAAACTAAAATCTCCATCAGTTTTGTCAACATTTTTTGTAATGGAGCGAATGCAAAATCTTGAGTTTTTGTAATTATCCCCTGGTCTCCCTCCCACTCACCCGGAGACATCAACCACCAGTGAATCCGTTTGGGCATCTTTATTGAACGAGCGAGAGGACCCGAGGCCTCGAGAGGAGACCCCAGGGAGGGAGGGAGGGTGCTGAAATTGATGTTACAGCGAACGAGCGAACTGACAAGGATATAAAATGACAACTAGCGCCGTGAAGAAAACAGCTGACGAGCCGCGAGGGCCTGGGTCTAATTAAGTTATTCCTAAGAATATAAACAATTATCCCCTGGTCTCCCTCCCACTCACCCGGAGACATCAACCACCAGTGAATCCGTTTGGGCATCTTTATTGAACGAGCGAGAGGACCCGAGGCCTCGAGAGGAGACCCCAAACCAAGAAAGAGGCCCAAAGGATTCACAGAGGGGGGCGAAGTCAGAGGGGAAGCAGAGGGGAGAGAAAATAGATAACGTGGCACGATAAGAATAAAAGGAGAAAGACATAAGCAAAGCGAATTATGAAAAAAACCATAACAATGAAATCTGTGCCAAAACAAAGAAATAAATGTGGGGAACTGGCAAAACGATGTCTGAACCGTAACAACTTAACGTGCTGAGGACAAAACGAGCCTGTCCGCCAAAGAGGCAGTGTCAATAACTATGCAGGCTACTAAAAGTAGACTAAACTATAACAGCTGAATGTGCTGAGAAATAACATGAGACAGCACAAGTCTGTCTGCCAAAGGCAGAGTCAAATAAAGCATGTAGGCGTCGGATCTCCAATCACCCTGGACTTTGATGAGCTCGGAGGGGATCCCGCACTGGAAGGCGAAGGTGGCACCTCCACGACGCAGGCTGTGACCAGAGAAATCCTGAGGATTGAGAGAAACCAAAGACGCCAAATACTTGATACTAGCGTTTAAAGAAGAGGCTGTGATACAGTCAAGGTGATGAGAAGCGGTGGTGTATGTGAAGAGCGGGAAGCCAGCCGGGGCTGAAACCGAGTCGAGTAACAATCGCAGGGCAGCGGTGGGACAAAGGGGAGATCCAGGAATACGAGGAACTGGTACCACGAGTGCTGTATCGCCGGCCTGCCGTGTTTTTGTCCGGGTGACTGTGAGGAGAGCACCTGAGGTGGCAAAAGTGATGCTGCCCCTGGACAATGTATGATGAGAGGAGAACTTGTCAAAGGACTGCGGGACGAGGTTGGCAGTTCTGAAGAAGGAGAAGAAGCCGACAAGCAGGGCACACCACACAGCTAGATGGGCGGAGTCGCGAACATTAAGATGGTGGTAAAATTGTAGCAAGATGGCTGGGGTCAGAGGTGCTTTCCGATGAGGAAGGTGAACCATAGACTTCTCCAAACCTTTTTGGGTAAGCTTGACATGGATGTCATCGAAGGCTGAAGTCTCGAAATGGCAAAACACGTGTAAACGCCGTAGGGCACTCAAGTAGTTGTTGACTGTGCGATGTGACTTAACGGAGAAGCCAAGCAGGGTGATAAACGCAGCGATGGTCGATGAGGAGGCTGGAAAGGGAGTGATGGAGTAAAATTGGCAGAATTTTAAGTAAGTGTTCCAGACGGAATGATAATTTCGCTTGGTAGAATCAGACAGAGCGAAGGCTTGAATCCTGGTGACGCAGGAGTGAAGGTCATCAAGGTGAAAACCTGCAACCAAATAGAGAGGTGATTACCATTGACAGTCAAAATGGAATAGGTCTGAATGACAAGTGTACTCTGTGAGGGTGTCATAGTGAAGAGAAGCGGCCTCGTAGAAGGTGTCTCGAAACTCAGGATGACTGTCCCAACGACTGAGAGCATCAGCAATGATGTTGGCGTAACCGGGAATATGGAGTGCTTGCAGCTCAAAATCGTGAAGGGAGGCGTAGAACCATAAGTCGCGTAGGCACGACTGAATAAAAGGCACACGGGAACGGCCAGTGTTGATAGCCAGCTCAGTGTTGAGGTTGTCAGTGCGAACCAAGATGCGTAGACCGCGCAAATCCTCAGACCACAGCTTGATGCTGACGGTGACGGCCAACATTTCGAGCGAAGCAATGGAAAGAGAGGCTGGATCAAAACAGGTCGGGAACGAGGAGTGGAAGAAACGGCCACAAAAGAAACCGCCAATACCGGTAAGGCAAGCATCAGTACAGAAGAAATGATCGCTTACTGGCCAAGGGGAAGAACGCAAAAGTGAAACACCATTGTAGACAGAGAGGAATTTGTCCCACCAACGTAAGTCGGACAGCATGTCTGAACTGGGCACGAAACGTGCGCGTTTTGTGGGAAGCTGGCGGAGTTCGTTAAGCAGACGCTGCATGAAAATCCGTCCAGGGCTGATACAAGCACAAAGGTAGGAAAGCTTGCCGATGAGAGACTGAAGGTCGGACTTAGTGGACCGTGGAGCGGCTAGCCAAGCACGTATGAGATCGGCGGTGTCTTGAAGTTTATCGGGAGGCACTGCGATGGTCAGTGTGACGGTGTCGTAAGTGAGGCCGAGAAAAACCATTCTCGTGGAAGGTGGACAGTCCTTGGACGGGGACGACTGAAGGCCTAAATCAGTGAACAGACGCTCCAGGTCAGAGAAGGCAAGTGAAGCGTCTTCGAAGGTGGATTCGGCCCCGCCGAAGTCATCGATGTAATTGATACAGTCATGGCCAAAGAAGGAGTGAAAGATGTGAGCAATCGCGTTGGTAGTCCGCTGACAGGCAAGGGTTGCAGAACGAAGACCAAATGGGAGGACAACGTCAAAATAAAAGGAGTCGCACCAGTGATAGGCAAGAAAGATGTAGTCTCTAGGATCCACTGGAATCTGTCTGTAAGCGCGTTTCAAATCTTTCTTGTAAAGGTAACACCCAGCGCCCTTGGAGAGAATAAGGTCAACAAAATCGGCGGAACGAGGCAGTGAAAGATGGAAAGGCTGATCGAGGTAAGAGTCTTTGGGAATTCCGTCATTAACAGAGGAGCCAAGAGGAAAACTGAGGTCCAGTACGACGCGCCTTTGGGTGCCATCCTTGGGGACAGTTAGCAGAGGAGACGTGCGGAGGGGGGCTGGGAAAGGATTGCACGTGAATGGCCCAGCAGTAGCAGAATGTTCGATCTCGGTAGATAAGAAGGCGTCAATAACATCCGGAAAATTGGTGGCTGAAGCATGGTTCGGGGGCTGAGATGAAACAGAAACGACGGAGTGACAGTTAATAGGCCATCCAAAGGCTAGGAAATCGGCAACAACAGAATCAGAGTAATGTTCGAGGTATGATTTCCAAACAGGAATGTTCAGCTTCGACGGAACAGGATTTCGAGTGCCAAAAGCGTTCGGGAGCGGAGACTTGGAGCAAAGAATGTGACGAATAACTGCGGCGTGCGAGTGTTCACGAGAGAGTAAAAGTTGGCCAGAAAATGCGGTAGAGGGAGCGGGAACAAAGTTGGGCTGCGAAGAAGGCGACGATAAGGCTGTTGAGGCGGGAGCAGGCGAAGAAACAGCGGGCGAAAACGTGCTGTTCGACGGGAGAGATGTGGGAGCTGGAGAAGATAGTCAATCGGCTGTGGTGGGCGGCGGAGGGCGAGTCGGGCAAGAGCCAATGGTGTGGTCTTTGAGCTTGCAATATGCACAAATGTGTTCGACGCCTTCCTGGTGCGAAGGGTTACTGCACGTACCGGTGCGGTTCCATTCGCGGCAATAGGTACGAGCTCGGCCATTGTTGTTCCGAAAGCCAGCCGCGTGAAAGGCGGGCGAAGTAGCCGGTTTGGATTGCAAGCGATTGGATTCTGTGATGTTGAAGCGCTCGATTTCGCTGAAATCGTCGCCCCAGCTTGCGAGGCCCGACTCGATGCGATCCAACACGGCAGCATGAAAGGACAGCACTGCTTCCCAGTCGTATTTGGACGCCAAACGCATTAAAGACATGAGGTGGTGCGACATGAGCGCTTGCTGAGGGGAAGGCTGAGCAGACAAGATATCGAGAT